TTTTCTCTTTGAAAACTAAGTTTTTCAGGAGTGCATTGGAATAGTTGTAAAGAGTAAGATTTGTATATGCTGGTGTAAATGCTTTATGCATCAATGACATTTTTGATTTCTTCAGAAAATATTCTCAGAGATTTGTTTTTAGGGGAGATTCTGAATGTCAGTTATGACCATCCCTCCTAGACGTCTAGACAGCATAGCCGAATATACAAGACTTTGGGTGATGCTTTCTGTATTTTGACATTGTTGTACGAATTTGTCTTGATGGTCAGATGGCAACTAATAACACCGCAGCTATGTGTAGGAACAAAGATTGCTAAAATATTTATGGCTTTTATAAGATTTTTCTCTGTGAGATGACTTCTCATCAGTTAATGTAATCGGTTTTTGAATGTCTGAAAAAAAAATATATAAGAGAATCTTTGTTTCACATGGCATGAATTTTACCCAGATACTTCTAACTTCATCATTGTACATATTAGATAGTTTTATTTCTTAAATTCTCCTGTGTTAATTTTACCTTTTTGAACATGCAAAGTGAGACATTTGTCCAAGCCTAATTTCATTTAAATATCATTTGTAAGCATCTAAACAATCTCTAACATACTCTGGAGATTCTCATTTGAAGGAGCATAGAGTTTTAATCATCCATACGGTACGGTGGTGGTGGTGGTGGTGGGGGTCGTCGTCGTGGTATTGGTAGTCATGGTGTTGATGGTATGGTCGTCGTCATGATCGTCGTCGCGGTTGACGTTGAAGCAGTCGTGGTGGCGGCTGCGGCGGAGGAGGTATTATATTCATTATTAGATCATTATTTTTTTTTAAAAAACGAGCTATTTATATGTCTTAAGTGCCTGTAAATAACGCTGGTTCACACTAAGCACGTAAAGCTGTAAATAAGATTCACTCACACAAAGAAAGACTGACACAAAGTTTTCAACTCCTCTCACGTGAAATGGTACACCTTAGTTAATAAAACAGTATTCAAATATCGTTAGTAACTTGAAACTTGCGATATTCACGAATAGATTGAAGATAGCAAGACTTTCTTCCAAATTTGCTGGCTACAATAAGTTATACCGTCAAATGCTGCATCCTATTCATTAAAATTTAGGACTCTTTCATCGAATCTTCTCTGTATTTCTTGCTTAAAGATTTACACATCCGTAATTGTCTTTAAAATGCACCTATTAACTGAATATCAGGTAGTCAGTGTTATTCATTAAGTTTTAACTCGAGTTTTTGCCTCGGGTTATTAGCTCGCCTTGTTTTCCAAGTGCATAATCACAAGTGTTGAGAAAAGACCAATCGCCTAATTTATCCATGCAAAATATCACACAAAATTCCAATAATACATCAGAAATATAACTAAATATTTTAATGTGTATTTATACGGATTTAAAAAGATGAAAAAAATTCCAAATGTTTGTTATTATCTTGGGGATAAACTATTGCTCTAATCCCTATTACCAATTTTAAGCACTAGACCAGCGGTTTTGGAGGCCACTTCTTTGAATCTCACTGACGTCTCCTGCGCAAAGTAACTGTACGAGTTATTATCACTATTTAAGAACTGAAGTTACCATTACCACTTTCGAGCCTCAAGCGTTAACAGTTTGTTTGCTACGGCAAAACGGAGTAGTGTGCCTGTAGGTATCCGTGGATACCACGTGATTCTATCTGAGGCGCAAAATCCCGCTATGTGATCATCGCCTTGGGCCCTGGACCGACCAACAGACATGGCTATACAAGACGCTCGTCGCCTCTGCTCCCATGCACACGTCTTCTGTTAAAATGTCGACGCAAGCAACCGTCGCGATGTGTGGGTAAAGTATTTACATTCTCTGCATGTTTACTCAACTCTTTATCGTTCTTCTGTTTTCAGCCGTGTTATCACATGAGTGTGGATACTGTAACTGTGAAATCCATTGACTGCAGTTAATTTATTAAACTTGAATATGCATTTAAGCGTTCTTTTCCATTGGAGTATTTGACATAATAATTAAATACGTGTAATTTAATAAGTGTTTTATCTGAATTTTTGTATATGGGTTACATTACTTATTGTTTATCACTATCAATTAAAAACCGATAGGTAAAAAGTGGTTGAAATCACCTTGCAACATGCATGGCTTAATAACATTCTTATATACGACAGTTGGGACAGAAGTCATAGAAACTATTTTTTTCTTAAAGAAATATAATGGGATCATGTAAATTTTATTTGTCATATACAAACCGTCAGTCACGGTTCGACCCTACCTGGTCCTCCAATCTTTTGATTTACCTTTTCGTAAATATCAACCGTTATAGTTATTAGTCGTTAGTGCTTGCAGTGAATGTTTTGTCCCTGCAAGTGGTGGTGGTCCTCCCCTACTATATCCTGAGATCAGCACCGATCTACCCGTGGGACCCGGAGGAATTGGGCCCTCCAGTTATTTCTTTCCAGTGGACACCACTTTCCTCTTTGGTTTCCTTACATGTGTGGTCGTTTAGCGCATATAAGTGGGTATGTAACGGGAATACAAGAGCAAGGAAGAGGAAGGAAAGATCGCTCGCAGTCCGTAGCCCGTTTGCTAGGGTACAAGAGCTAATTATCTAATTCATTCGCACTCATTGTTCACATTTTGAGTACCCAAACAGGAAAATGCAGAGATCTCCAGGCTTTCCATACTTCCATAAATCCATATGATTTTTCCAACTCGATTTTCCGTCAAAAATTATTTCCAGATACTTACTACACAAGACTCTTGGAATATTATCTTTACCTAAATGATAATTCTTTTTATTGTAATTACGATCTCTTCCAAACGTGATGGTTTTAATTTTCCAACTATTGTCACGCACTTTTTTCGCTCAGAAATCTAATCTAACTATATCACCCAGCAAAATATCTTCGCCTTTTTTAATGAATAACTTGATATATTATATAATCAGCTGCAAACAACCGTACTTTTGAAAATAAGTTGGTGAACTGAAGTCAACCATATGTCGAAACTGAGAGATTAAGTTCTGTTTAATATCACTATCGTCTGCGATCGAAATTTATGAAGTGGGGAACAGAACAATAGAGAAACTAATTCTTCGTATTATTAAATGGAAAAAGTTAGTGTGTTTTTTATTCCCAAAATGACAACCTATATTACGGATTCATATGGAAACTTAGATATTGATCGTCAATCAACGATAAGCTGCTGTGAAGTAACGAAGCAACGATGCCAGCAAAATGACATTAGAAACATTTGTCAATTTCATTGCGCAGAACTCTTTAGTATGCTTTCATTCGGAACACGTGTGCCCGCACAGGTCGCGCGTGCGCCGTTGTGCGGCCCTGTTGCTGGCCGCGATGCTCGCCTGTCTCCCGCCTACGCACTGCTGGGGCGGGCTGGCGGGGCTGGCGGGCTCCTCCCCTGGCGACGCGGGCAGCGGCGTGGGAGGAGGGCGTAATCTGCCGAAACTGTCGCGGCACATGCGATACGTGCTGTACCCCGACACTGCCACTATGGGTGTAAGTCTAAAAACAACTAACATTTATTTTGTACTCGCTATGCGATTGGCAAAATATATTTTGTTAAAGTATTTTAATTCGCAATGTATTATAGAAAATATTATTTAATACACATTTTCACACGATATTAATATTACAATATTAATTATAATATTATATTAATATTGTATTTTAAAATATATCATTTATTTGGAATTTTAGGTTAGGATTAATACGAGTTTTGCCAGCTAGTAGTATTTGCAGCCGTTGTCCCTGTCCTTATTTATTATTCACGCCTGGGGTTAAGAGAGACACGTGGCGAACACCGTTCCCATCTTACTTGGCATGTCTGAGCTTTTCTTCATAGCTATAGGAACCGAGGCGATTGCAATGGAATGCTACAGCTCCATTCCCTCCACAGGGAATCGAATCCGGGAATGCACCACGGAGAGCCAGCACGTTGTCCATGAGCCACCTAAAAGTCATATACTAAAGGACTTATATTAAAGAAAATATATTATTAGAAAACATTTTATTAAATTCTTAAATAAATGAGGAAGGGGATTTATTCCAATTTGCTTTCAAATTATGTGTGCAACTTCACATA